CCCCCAAAACCCCAAAACCCCATGTAACAAAATTACCAGATTACCATGGGAATTAAACCTTTTTTTGTATTTTATTTCTTGAATTAATCAAAATTTATTAAGCAAATTTATTAATATTTAAGATTGAGATGTACGAGTTCAGCAAACTAACAGAGGGAGGCTTCTCTAAATTGAGTGTGGGCCTCGATAAAAATATGGACTTCCCAATTGCTATCAAATATGTAATACTTTCATTCCTTTATTCGAATAGATCGAAGATGCCAAGTTGGCCTAACGAGAAATGAAGATAATTAAAGACTTGTAATGCAGGTCCCAAGAAAAATTTAAAAGTAAACTAGATCATCTTTGCCTCTCTTGACTATTAATTTATAGATGCATTTCACATTTCCCATTATAATTTTTATGAAAACAGCGAGAGCCAACTGATTATCACGATGCCTCTATTGGGATCAAGTATTGACACACTTAGATATCTAAAAGAAGAAAATGGTCTATCTGTGAGAGAAGTTCAAGCAATTGGAGTTTTAATGGTAAATTCATATCCAGTAACTAAAGAAACTTATAGTTGGAGAGAATTCAAATGATGCATGAACTTGGGTATGTACATGGTGACATTAAGCCTGAGAATATTTTAATATACAATACAAATAAGAGCTTCTCGGCAAAAGCCTCTTAATATCAAATAATAAAACAGAGGTTCATTAAAAAAGTTGAGTAACCTGTGCTTGATCAGATGTCAGAAATGGAAACAACGTCTATTTAACCGCAATAACTAGATTCTACTGACTACGTTAAGCGTGGTTAATAAGATCTAGTATTGATTGACTTTGGTAATGCAAGAAAATACATTAAGAATGAAAACGGGAAGATTATTCATAAAAATAAAGCTAAAAAAAGCTTCTATGTTTGCACTCTTGGCTATGCAAGTGTCAGCCAGTCAATGGGTAATACATTATCAAGGAGAGATGATTTGGAGTCTTTGTTTTATACACTAATAAATTTAATCGGGCTTAGGCTTGATGAAATTTCAGATTTAAACCGAAGTTAAGCATTAATAGAAAGAAATCCACTCTATGCTGATGATGAAGAATATCAAAATTAGATGGACCTTATCGAGTTAAAGCTCAATATAAATCAAAAATCATTATCTTCCATTAATCTACCGGAAAGCTTTATCAAATTTTGGAGTTATCTAAATAAACTTAACTTTAAAGATGAGCCAGATTACGATTATCTAATTAAGCTTTTCTCTAAGAGCTTGATTAAAAGGCAGTTTTTCCCATGCCCTGAAGGAAAGGAAGAAATAAATTGAATATTAAATTGTCAACTAGTTGACCATGATCCACTATGGAAGCTATTCAAGGAAGGATACAAGGAATTTCTAAACGATTCAATTCCAGAGTTAAAGTTAAATCCTTTATAGTTTCAAAGTCCACGTAAAATTGAAATAATCATGACTGATCCTGAAGAAGAAAAATATTCAGAGATCAATTGTGAAGAATTTCAAGAAATAAATTATGTATAAGTTGTAAACTAAAGTGTAAATATTCATGCTACCAGACATATTTAAAAATTTTGACACATAAGTTTAATCTCAAATTAAGTCATTTTATATTAAAGTAATGCACAAATAATTTTTAAAATTAATTCCTCAATATCCTTCGATTATTAACTATCGGGGTTTTGGGGTTTTGGGGTTTTGGGG